GCTCGTCCACCAGCTCGCTCCTTTTCGCTCGGACCTTCCCGTCGTTCCCTCTTTCGTTCTTTCTATCGTCCCCTCTGGCCTTCTTTCCCTCTACCGTCCTCGCTACCGCGCCCATATTCGTAGCTGCACGACCGTGAAGCCGCGGAGCAGCGGTGATTGCCGGACAGAAGCTGAAATATGCCCTTATTTCGGGACAGGCCGCTTCCCTGTATTTACGATGACACAATGGGCCCATCTCTCATCCACGGCGCGGCTCCCGTGCCGACATTTCATCCCCCATGCCCGCCGCCACGGCCCCCGCGCTGTTCTTTCGGGGACACTTTTCGTAATGCGCATAATTTGTCCTCGCTATAACGCCAGCTCAAATTTGCGGGAGAGATCCGTCACGGTCAGCGCGAACGACAAAATTGCCGTGATATCAATCCAGGACGCCGCAAGACTCTGACTTCTTAATATAAACTAACAAACTACAACGCGAAACATGGCATTTCCTCGGCAAGCAGGTTCTTGGTTGCTGAAGTCTTTTTAATATGAAATAAATTCAATTAATTATATTACCAACTACGTGCCGCTTTGGTTTAGCAGACTTTCAACGTAGTGGTTCTATAATAATTCGATGATCAATATTATTGATATCGATTAAAATCCCTTTTATTATCCCCCTCCATTAGAAATATATATTGCGAAAAATATCACCTCAGCCAGGAATCGAACCTGGATAAACTCTTAATATAAACTTTTTAACGTTTATCTGTGAAGCTCGTTTATCAAAAATAAATATTTTTTTTTATTCCGGAAGTAGTCGCCTGAGATAATAATCACATCGACCGATATCATAACGAATATAAAATTTGAAAGTTTTATATATTTAATTAATTTATTTTTCTTTTACAATGATTAATTTATTAGTCGGTATACTTCGTATTATTATTATTCTCCTTGCTGAAATAAGTTTCCTCGAAGACCTCGAGTCTCGGTGAAAATCACGAAAATCCACTTTTTGAAAAGCGTATTGTCGAAGTACGTGAGCGTCGACAACGCGCTTTCTGTCGCGATGACGCTGCATTCTGTGACACGGACGCGCGTAATCGCGCAGGCAACGTCCTGGGGATACGGCAAACAAGACAATAAACCGAATAAACGGCTGTTCGAACTTAATTAAGGAGTGGCTGGTGCATCTGCGAATCGCGCCGTCATTTCTTCGCCGAGCTTTATCGGCGAGTGCTTATCTATCAGCGGCGCGATAAGATAAGAAGATCTGCCCCGAGGGAGTTTAGGATAGTCATCTCTTGGACGAACACCAAACTTCTGCAATCCCACGTTTTCCGCGAGGGTGAAACGAGTCGCGCGTAGCGATGGGGAGAAACCGATATCCCTCATTCAATCACGTAGGATTCAGATATTTTGTATCTCCCTCCCCCCCCTCCCGTTATTACCGAGGCTTAATTTATCCCTCTTCTTAAAAATGTCATTCATTTCTAAAATTTAAAATTTACATACTTTTATTTTTGTAAATAAGATTCTGAATGCACAAATATTTTTATATAAGCTTTTCTTAACACCGATCGATAGATATTTATTACACTATGTGATTTACGTAGTGTAATTGATTTACGTCTGCGATTCAAGATTTATTTCATAGATTTATTTCATTCGGAAAGAGAGAGATAAATTTTCTGGCTGGTGAAAACATTGCGGTGTAATGCGGATATATACGGCACAAGTATTTTTGCATCTCACGCGAGGGCATCGAGCCCATCGCTAGCCATATGCGACCGCCTCGTCCACTCTTAGAGTAGTAACTCTTCCACTTTCCCTGCTTCGTTCTCTGCCGTTTCTCTGTCCACCCTCTGTCTAGCCTCGCCGAGACCCTCTACTGAGAGCTATCTCTCGCTATTTCTCTTTCTTC